GTGGGAGGAAGCCGGAGTACCCGGAGGGAACCCACGCAAACACGGGGAGAACATGCAAACTCCACACAGAAAGACCCCGAGCTGTGCTTGCTGTGCGGCAACAGTGCTAACCACCGTGCCACCGTGCGAAAATACATTGAGTTAATACATGTACGGAGACAGTGGGTGGAGAGGTGTACACAGCTGTGGCAGCTCTACAGATATCAGCTCACTGCACAAAAGTGGAAGGTCTTTATTCCACAGAGCATGGAGCAGAAAAAGCACAAATTCCACTTGCCCACGTGTTTGTGTCTGTGGGCAAGAAATGCAGTATACACTTTCCCAGGGTTTAATTAACATACACCCACCAAAGATTTTTTTTCCTAATGTTCTTTGAACTCATTAATTAGTGAGTAAAGGAGGTGGTCCAGGGGAGACGCCTGTGTGAGACAAAGAGGGAAAAGATAAAGAGCCATGAGGAGGAGGGGATTTTCTCTTTCCTCTGTCACGGTTGGCGTTTCATCTGAATTAGTCACCTACTCAGTGATGCACTCAGTGCAGCGTAAGTAAGCAGACAGCTAATTTATTCCTGTAATGCAGGACCTGCTGTAAAGACAGGGAGCTGAGATACGAGCCCTCAGGACATGTGGCCGTTCGGTTGAACTGTTCATGTTTCAACAGAAAGTCTTTAATACGAACAGAAAGAAACCAAAAAGACATCATTCATTGTTTTGTCGATGGCTCAAGAGACATTACAATTGTCTTGTTGTAGTTAGATGAATGAGACATTCAGTGTTGTCTTATCTCAATGTCTTTCCTATGAAGGACATAAAGTGAACTCCTTCGTTGGACTGATGGGGAAGAGGAGCCAAGAGGAGCCAGGTCAGTTCACTTAACGAGCTTTCATTTTCTCAGAAACAAACTGAATCCTTAAGATGGCATTTCCCCTTTTTCAGCAGAGTCTTATAACTGGAACACAATAGAGACGTATGACAAGCGCCGCTAAACAGCTGTCACCTCTGCTTCTCATCGAATATCCTTCAGCCACGGCACGGGGACCGGATGTTGGTTTTGTTTTTCTCCAAACCGCAGATAGCTGTTAGCTCATTTAAAAGATGACATTTTTCATACTGTAGTGAAATAGCAGTTCTGTATTTGTGTCAGTTTGATCTGTTTCGGTAGAATAACGAGTGGAGTTTGAGGAAGTGTCATTATAAATGTTAATTTCCGCCACCTGCCAGTTTTCTGAACAGCGTGCTGATAGTTTCACTTCGTTATGCCTCATAACGGTTTGATTGTTTTTTGCTAATACAACAAAATAGCACAGGTGCTCATTTTGGCTTTCGAGTGACTTATAGAAGCTGCCTTGTTCTTCGTCTGCATATGTTGTGATGTATTAAAATAATGTCAAAAATTGTATTAAAATTATTTTATCACTGGTTCAGTCTGAAGCTTGTGCAGTGCAAATCAGTGCTCAGTTAATCTAGATGGATGGCGCTAGGGCAGACTCTGGTGGTGAACAGTGGTACTGCATGAAATATAAATGAAGTAAACAGTTTCTGTTGCAGCAGGAAATTTTATTTTAGCGTCAATTAATGTAAAACACAGAAAAATAGAGACAGATAAAAGATTAGCTAAGAGAGAAATACAAATGCAATGCAGCCGAGTGCAAACATGATTCAATAAACTAAGGTTGGATACAATTTCCTTGCTGTAGCATATGGTTATTAAATTACATTAGACTGCAGATATTAGCGATCTCTTCCTGTAATCCACTTTCACATGTGACCATGGGTGGGACAGTTATATGAAATGTCTAACTCCTAGCTCCCAAACTGTTTGAATAGCATGAAAAAAAATGATTAGATCTTTTACGCATGTCTCACTTCTGCCAAACTTGAAAAATGTCCTTTTACAAAACACTTGTATAATATGCTAGTTAGCGCCAACAATGCTGCAGTTCTAGCTGCAAACTGAAACCAAAGCAAACCAATTCAAACTACCAGAAATCAACCAAAGCTGTCAAAAGCTGGGAGGTAGCAGCATGATAACACTACTTACTGACCTCAGTCAGTTATAGTGTAAACATGATACCACCCTTACACCCTGTAGCTCAGGAGGCCGAGCAGGTCATCTACTAATCAGAAGGTTGGCGGTTTGATCCTCCAGTATGCACGTCAAAGATCCAGTTCCATCCATCCATTTCTTCTACTGGGATGCAGGGGCAGCAGCCTAAGCAGAGAAACCCAGACCTCTCTTTTGGAGAACAATAAAGCGGTCCCAGGCCAGGTAAGATCTATCATCTCTCCAGCGTGTCCGGGGTCCCACCAAGGAGGCATTCTAGTCGGATCCACGAACCACCAGAACCGGCTGCTTTCAACGTGGTGGAGTAGCGGCTCTAGTTTGACGCACAACAGTGGCATATAAACACCAGGCAAGTGAACCCAGGAAAGTGAGGAAGTGCTCAATGAAAGTCCACTAACAGTAGGAGCTTGTAGCAGGGTAACTAAGAGATGGTTCAGGTTCACCTGATCCGTCTCCAGCTAGTCAGCATCAGAAAGGAAAATCTGAAGGAAAGTTTGAAGCCTAATCTTAAAAGCAGAAGAGCTTTGTCTTCGTTCTCTCAGCTCAGTGGAGGATATTTTAACTGTAATTACGCCCTCAAAGACACAAACACACAAATCATTGGTCTTTCTCAGGTTTATAGATGGACAAGGTACGGGCTGATGGATCGATGGCATCAATCCAGCGCGGCATCCAGTAATGGGAGAGCCACTGAGCACGGTCTGGGTAGAACTTCTCAAACTCCTGTCTATAGTAGTAGGCCTCTTTAGTGTGTGGGGGGTTGTGAGGGAACCTCTTGTAAGCTTCCTCCATGTCATCATCGTTCACCTAAAAAAAACAACAACAAAAAAACAAAACAGACGGGTCACTTGCAAACTTTATTCAATCAACCAAAGCAGCAACATCAACTAACGAGCAATGTCATAATACAGAGCTAAGAGGAACACCTACAATTTACTGAACCTCTCTCTGCGGTTTAATTAAAGGTTTTAACACGGTCGTGATTTGTGTATTTGATCAATTTTCTGTGGATTCTTGGCCCGTTCTAATTTACTTTAACTTTAAATGCAAAATTTAAAGTTAAAGTAAATCTTTTATTCTGTCAAAGTGGTGCCATTGCACTGAGCTTGGAACTCAGATTTCTAGTAAGTGCACCTGTGTTATGAATTTGAAAATTTCCTACGTTGCCTTGTTCTCGAGTTATTGCATTCACAAACCTGGGTGTCTGCAGCACCTGAAATCTGCCTGAAATCAGTCGAGATTTACTAGATTGTGAAAAGGCTTTTTTTTTTTTTAGGCAGAAATCAATGTTAACATAAAAACTAGGGATGCACCGATACCGATACTGGTATCGGGTATCGGGGCCGATACTGTAAAAGTTAACCGATACCATGAACCGATACCAACTTATTTCATTAATCAGAGGGTGGCTTGTCATTTCTGTTGTAGTTTTTTTAGATTGGCCACTAGGGGGCCAATTATTATTTTATTTATTATTTATTTAATAATAATTATTTTTGTTTGTTTGTTTACATTATGGACACTCTGCAATAATTTAAAAGTTTATTTTATTCTCAAACCTAATTTGTATTTCTTTTATTCCAAACAGAAGTGTTTATTTATTATTCTGAAAGCTCGAGACAGTGCCAACAGTTCAGTGATATTTTGTTAAATTACAATGTGGAGACTCTGCAATAATTTAACAGAAGTGCTTATTTTTCACTTGAAATTTTTTTGTGGTCATTTTTATTAAGATTTTATTTTTTATCGACAGAGAATATAATAAAACCTGTCTTCCAATTCATTGCATTTGTGTGTGTGCGTGTGTGCTGTATCGGCAAGTACTCAGATCCAAGTATCGGTATTGTATCGGTTTGAAAAAATTGGTATCGTTGCATCCCTAATAAAAACGTTACTGTGAATGGGACCGAGTCAGAGGTTTCTCTACCAAATATTACCATTGACTCCAGATGCTCCTGCAGGTACGTGTACCAGGACTTCTTCACAGATGTCAGGCCATCACTAAAGGCTTCTTTACGCCTCCAGAGAATCTCATCAGGTATCAAGTCGAGACCTTTGAAGGACTCCCTCAGAAGGTGCTTCTCCACTCCATTCTGGTTTCACAGGACACAATACACTATTATTACAAAGCAAAGTTGCATGATAGTGTGGACGCCAATATTGTACAGACTCACCCTAGGAACCCTCATTTCCTCAGGCAAGGAGAGGTAGTACGCTGTGAATCTGTGGTCCAGGAAAGGCACTCTCAGCTCCAGGCTGAAAGACAGAGCGACACGAAATGAGCCTGAACTGAAAGAGTCCATTGAAAAATCAATTTCTATCAAATTGTGTGAGTACAGGACAGGGTTACTAATAGGTCTATTAATCAGAACTCTGTCATTAATCTTTATTACTATATTTGAATAATAGTCAGCATCACCCTATTGGTTGGTTGCATTATTTGGTGGCCACTATTGGTTAATCACTCACATTTTGGCAGTGGTTAAAATGAATGCATTAGTTATTTTACCACCAAAGCTCTGCAGCTGAATTCCTGCTGTCCACTTTACCCTGCATCCTTTTTTCCCTTTTTATGGTCAAATTAAAGATGCTTCATGAGCACTACATGCGCTCTGAAAAGCTGTCGCACAATTACAGCCAATTCTGAACGAAGTAATTGTAATTACAGGACATTTTTTCAGCAGAAAATTATCGCCAACAACAGGCGAAATGCAATGTTTTATTTTTATTTATTTTTTGCTAGATTCTTTCAGTTTCCGGTCTTAATTCTTTGGGCAGGGCTAGTGAGTAACAAAGAAGGGCTACCCATGTGCAGCAGTGGTGCGATCAGCACGGAGAACATCAAACATGTAGAGCTCCTCCATCAGACGAACGCTGTCCTCTGCTGCAGCTTTGGGTGTTGGAGCCTAGAGGAGAAATAAAGCCACGTTTAAACGGATCCTTTTCGATTGGCATTCTAACTTTAGGTTCAGTCTGAAGTTTTCCTTCAGACGTTGTGATATTTCTGGATCACAAGTCTGACAATTCTGGCTAACAAAAGTGTTTCATATATTTTGTCTGTAATTATCATTTAAAATCGTTTTTATTTAAAGCAATGAAACATCAAAGGAAAAAAACAAATGCAATGAACTTAGATTTGCTCTACTTTGTAAGGTTGTCCAGATTTTTTGAGAAGTATCATCATCCCAAAGCATAAAGATTTCTGTATTCAGATCAGTTTAAAAAGAAGTCTGTCTTCTGCACAAAGTGAGAAGTGATCCAAGCATGTCAAAAGTATTCATTCACCCATCCAAATCAATGGATTCAGGTGCTCCACTCACTATAAAATCAAGCACCTAGGCATGCCGACTGCTTCTAGAAATATTTGTGAAAGAACTGGTCGCACTCAGGAGCTCCATTGTGGTAATAAGATTCCAACTGTGCAACAAGTCCAGTTGCAAAATTTCCTTGCCACTAAATATTCCACAGCCAACTGTTAATGGTATTAGTGAAAGATAGCAGCTCATCCACAAAGTGGTAGACTGTTTAAAATCACAGAGCGGGGTCAGCAGTTTGGCAGTTGCCAGGAGAACAGCACTTGTCTGCCTGCACTGTGCCAAGCTGTGGCGGGGCGTGGTAATCGGTGCAGCAGCAGGATAAGCGAACGCACCTGCAGGACATCCACGATCACATCTCGCCAGGTTAATAGACTGAACTGGGTCACGTCATGTTTTTCTTTGTGTATACTTGTGGCTGGCATCTAGGGAGCTGCAGCCGAGTTACATAAAGAGTAAAAAGTCACTGAATGCTGGATCGTGGTCGTGTCGTGCTTCCTACCTGTCACACAAGTGTTTGGTGAAGGGAGCATTATGGTCTGGGGTTGTTTTTCTCCAGTTGGGCACCTTAATTGCTGTGAAAGGACCTCTAAAGGCTTCAGCATACCAACACATTTTGGACAATTTCATGCTCCCACGTTTGTGGGAGTTTTGGGATGCCTCCCTCCTGCTCCAACATGACTGCGCACCAGTGCACAAAGCAAGACATGGATGAGTGAGTCTGGTGTGAAAGAACTTGACTGACCTACAGAGTCCTGACCTCAAGCCGACAGCATTCCTTTGGGATGGATTAGAGGGGAGACTGCGAGCCAGACCTGTTCATCCAACATCAGTGATCTGTCTGACAGGCTGAAGGTTGAGGCTAAGCCTCTGTCCTGCTTTTCCCTTCTTACTGTTGCCAAATGCTTTCTCATATGGGGTCATCTGACAGTTGGGGTTTTTGTAGGGTCTTTACAATATGGCACATAATTTGCTGCAAATTGCAAGAAATGTAACACTGAAAACAATCCCGTCTTCTGCCTGTTGTGGTCGTGATAGTC